ACAAAGCATAATACGAATGTGCACATGCACATGCATGAGCTATACACTGCCACACATTCATGCTGGACCCGTGCGTGAGCATTCGTGTATATGGAGGCAATCGATATCTCATCTGGCCACATAGCACAGCAAACCCTGTCAGTTTCTTCTTCATCCTCTTCTTGCAGGAGCGCGCGAGTCTGGCATATCACGGCGCAAGCTCTGCATAGTTTCGCCGCTTGAGCTGAACTATGTCAAGCCCCATAGTCTCTGTCTGTCCGTCTGTCTGTCTGTGCCTGTCTGTCTTTTATGTTTCACCAAGCTTATAATCAAAGGAGGCCGGAGACCCTAGCGCTCGCGCAGAGTGGCACGCCCGCGCAGATAATTGTTATGTGTGTGTGTGTGTGTCTCTGTGTAGTCTGTCGATCTGATATGTCTAGAGTAGGTAAGCCGTATATGTATATATATATATATATATGCGCAATTATACTAACACACATCTATACATGTATATCTGTATTCGTGTTCTTCTCAGTCGGGATAAACACGCTGCATCCGTCGTGTTGGCGCACGAACTTCACGGATGTATCAAGAATATGTTCACGCACATAGAAGATCACCCATCAGCATGCTACCTGCCGGTGCATTGTGGGCTCCTTTACGTAACCCAACTGGATTCAAATCTTGCAGGGTGTGCTGCACGTCCTTGTGACCTACATTGCATTGCAACACCTTGTGTGCATCGATTGCCACCATGCGCGCATGCAGATTGCAAGCAAACTAAACAAGAGCTGTGAGGTTTGCAGACAGAAGTGAATGGCAAACGGACACCTTGATCTATAGTTCTCGGAAACCTGCCTCACTCGGCATATTGGCTGCGATGCTGGCTCCATGCGTCTCGTCCAAAGTTTGGACTTCAATGCTGGCGTGCTGCACGGAAACCTCTGCGCGTCAGGATGCATCAGAGGTCTTCGGAGACAGACCCTCCTCGATAAAGCAGCTGTCAGAGGGCTTCAAAGGGAATACGGAGAGAGCCTTTCTTGCAAACGGCCGTTTTTCGCATCCAGGCTGCAAGAGCCTCTGCTGGGAACAAAACGGGGGGTCTTACAGCAAACCTTCAAGTCGGCGGTGCTCGCAAAAGGGCTACAGTCCGAAGCCCAAGCCGACAATGTATGGACCCAGTTCAGTGACAGGGCATGAGGCATGCCAAAAATGCTCTTCAGTCCAGTCGCAGTCTCTGTCGCCTTGTTCTCCCGCCTCTCCTGGAGCAATGTCACTTCTACCCTGTTTGCTTCTGGAGACGGTAACAGCAACAAGGCAAGGATGGGCACAGTGACGTGTCAGGGTACGGTCTTGGGCCGTTCGTGATGTGCAATGGCAGCTGCTGTTTTGCAAGTTTAGAAAAAGCAGGTGTGATTTCAGCTCAGCACGTTGGCCCAACAGAAGAGGACACACTACTCATGACCCTCCAAAAGGTCGCAGGTGTGACTTAGGATGTGATTCTTGCCGGGGGTCACATGAATTTTGCATGTCTGCTATACGGCAGAACTCCGAAAGGAACGAGGGATGACAAATACAGGGTAGCAGCAGCCTTCGATGCAACCAACCTTAGCAACCTTCGCCGCAAAACTTCCTGCTGTCCAGGACTACCACTTCAGCTCCGGTGCTTGATTTTAACTCCGTAGTCCTAACACAGAAGGTCCATGAACAATACACGAGAGAAATAGAACCCGCCGTGATGCCGAATGCCAGGGCCCTGTCAGTATTTCCACCAAACCAATTCAGACACGAGTGCTTTGGAGTTGTACAGGCACAAGATTTGCGCTATTTCCTGTACCCATGCTAATCCGCGCAAACACACATGACCCCAGCAGGAAGATTTGTCCGTCTGCGTCTGCGTCGCGGCATTCCTCTGCGCCGGTGCCTTGCATAGCCGGGAAACTAATGGATTGCTGCACTTTCGAGTCACCGGCTGTCACGTGTCTCAAACCCGGTACAGAACTGGAGGGGCTTCGGAACACCAATTCAATGTCAGGTTGTACCTACTTGTGAAACTTGGTACTCGCTCGGGCTACTTATGTGAAGACTGGAGATACAAGCAGCGTTTGGCTTGAGGACTCACCATGTCTTCTTTGACCCAGGAACCCTGACTGTAATAACTACTTTCCTCCCTACCACACAAAAGCCGGTCAAGAGCCAGAAACCTCAAAAGAATCCAATTCCGTGTCAGCAGAATCTCACCACATGCAACTTATTAGACAGCCTTCGTGACATCTTGAAGGCAAGGGCTAAAGCTGAGGTGCTCTTGAACAAGAGGCTTCTCCCTCCGGACATGTTGAAGAAGCCCAGTCCAAAAATCCCTGAAGGATGCCCAACAAACGGCAACAAAGACGGGCCTCCATCTTCTGCGCCATTAGATTTCCTTGGAGATTGGCCTGATGTCTTTCTTTTTTTTGAGGTTTTTTTCTGAGAAGCCATGGCCTGATGTTTCACTTCGAGGGTCTGGGCCCTAAAGGGCTCACTAGACACCAGTCTTAAGGTTCAAGGGTCTTTGGACTCGTAACGCTCACTGGATTTCAGTGCCAGGCCTAGGGAACGGAAGGCATTGGGGGGGATATCTGTTACCTGCGGGGCCGTACTTGCGGTCACCACATTCTGCAAAATGGCTCACTCGTACCTGAACGACAGGCAATGCTTGCGAAATGCCTGAATTAGTTGCAACCTATCCTCTTGTACTTCATCGAAGGAACAACCATCAATCAAGCTGTACACCTGAGTCAGAAACCCCTTGTCCTGAATACTCAATGCAGGAGTTCCGATGAGTGAAACATGGGGCGTCTTTTTTCAGCTCCCTACATTACCCGATGCCTGCATGGTTTTGGTCTTGAACTTGTGGAGCAGCTCCAAATTCTCTTTCATAAGCCTCTCTAGCTCAGACTGGTGCTGCTCCTGCCATGAAATCATGAAGAAACGGGAGGGGTCTGAAGAGCCGACGCAGTGCTCAGTTGACGTCTCGCATGGTCTGGGAATGTATCAGGAATCCTCGATCGATCGGACTCAATCGCAAAGGCGGGCTTGCGTACGGTCCTCCAATCGCTTTCTCTGCTCCTCCAGCCGATCTTCCACTTCCTCTTCAGCAAAAGATGCACAGTCCAATGCATCCTCTACCAATGTTTAGACAGGCATGCTAGCTTCGTGCTCCCTTGACACACCCTATAGGAACCCGCATCGAATTCCACCTGCAAAGTCCTTCAGCATTCGGAAAGGAGCTGCTTCCTGCAAAGATCCACCAGTTTCCCGACCAAAACATACCAGGCCTGACTGAGGCTCTCGTGGACTGAGAAGTGCGAGATGATATCAGGGACAAACTCCACACCTCTCTCCTGGCCGGGGGCTGCGTCGGCTGTGGGACTGGGCCTTGAAGGCTGGGGGCTGGATGCCTTGCATGGGCTCAGGCCTTAGGCTTTACACTTCTTGAGCTTGGAGCCGACGGCCACTCCTACTCCGGTGCAACCTGTTAAAGCACGAATTTAGGGAACAACAACTCCCCAACAGTTCAGAAATACATTCTAGAATCACCCTGGAGCAGCAACCAACATTCAAGCTCCGCCTCTGCCTGCTCCTTCCGAACAAGCTGTTGTCGAAGGCCGGCTACCTGTTCTTCTCTGGGGTTGCATCTTTCATCACCAGCACGACCCTTCTTGACGTTTCTCTTGGCAGCTACTGTTGCGATTAGCTGTTGCAGTCTATGCTCTGCAACTTTGAGTGCCAGTCGCGAAGCGAGGCTTTCTGCTAGCTGCTAGTACTCACGATGGTACTGATGCTGATCCGCTGATCCATGTCTCGAGTCGCTGAAAGCGCTCGGCTTCAGCACTCCACAAGCCACTGGCTTTGGCTTGTCTTACCTGCTTGCCTTTCTGAGCCAAGGAAGACACAAAGCCCGTCCAAAAACAAGGAAGACTCACTCCGCGGCCTCCCGCAAGTACGCCTCCCTCATCCTCGTGAGCTCACTCCTGGTGCCACAAACGGGTAGGTGCACGGTGTATCAATGCCCCTCCTCACAAACTGCATGGACGGCAAGGTTGTGTGGAATCCCCAGCGCTTGACCATATGCCGTCTCCAAGTCACCGAACCGAATCGAGCGATATGATGCGAAGCTCAGAACGCAAGCAACTCCTCGAGACTCCTGGCCTCCTAATTCGCGGAAACCACGGAATCGAACAAAGCTCGGAACTTTGCCTGCCGCAAACCATCCCCTCGAGCACAGCCTTCAAAGCCCTTCAGCAGACAAGATGAGGCTAGACTGCTAGGCGACTCAAGATCGTCCTCGCCCTGTCTGCACGCTGGGTTGCAGCTGCGGCCTGCGAGAGCTTCGCCTGCCAATCCTTCGCAGCGGGGGTGTTGTTGCGCTGGTTTGGCCTGCTATGCCTCCTCAAGCCCTGCTGTTGGGTCGAGTAATGAGTTCCCTGTCACCTGAAAGAGCTGTTTCAGGTGACGACAAGCACATAGAGCAGCAAACAACGACGACAAGGAGGCAAATGAATCAAATCAGGCTTGTGACACACCTATAAGTCTTTTTCTAGATGCCGAGCCCTCACCGCCTGGAGGTTGCGCTCACATTCCATCTTGGCCACCTGCATGACAGGGCGTGTTTTTGCCTGCAGCTATGCATTGTAGTCCGGAGTCTAGGGCTTGGGCGGGCTTCAAGGCTTCGATGCAGCAATTATGCAACACAGGGACGGGCTTTAAGGGAATATTATCACTATTCCCCTACATTGTGGATGCTTGCGGGATTGGGGGCTGATGCCTGGAAGGTGCTCATCAGACCCCACATTCATCGTCACCAGCGTGCAGGCATTGCATGAGGTAGTTTTTACAGCCAGGACCCTGGCAGAAAACAACAACATGATATGTGTTTGTTCGTCCGCACGGCATGGTCGACAAGTACCTGTCCGCTCTTCCATATGGGTTCTTGCGAGCGCAGGTGCGACACCAAATGGAAACATTCCAGAAAACCTGCTTCAAAACTGACCGGCCTGGTACAAATCTTTATTGCAGTGGCCGGATTCAATGAGGTCGCCCTCGAGTCTCAGAGCAAGATCGTCCAAAGTCTCTGCCTTAGTCTTCGAAGTGTGCGCCGCTCTTGATCTAGGATTTGCAGGGTGAAGCATGGATGCAGCAAAGCCTGGTAGCCAAGTCAGCACGCAAAACCTGTGATCAAGCTCGGAGCGCGACGATGTTCGACTGCACGCGGGAGAGAAGAGCACCCGGCTTCACCGGGAACTTCAACAAAAAGTCAAACCCTCCAGGGTTCAGGTGGCTCACTGTGCAGTCGCTTGCGGGCACTGCACAACCGCTGTTGAATGGCTGTTTTACTGAAACCTTCTGCTAGGTGTCAAGCGGTTCAAGCAAACGGACACTTTCCTTCCAGCTCAACTCGTAGAGGGTTCAGCATCTCCGGAAGAACAACTGTAACGGAAGCCTCGCGCACCAGAACCAAGGCAAAGATTTCCCACAGGCCGCAGATAGAGTTGTTCAAGCTGCAAACTACTCAATGCCTATCTTCAGCTCAAACCCTTTCATTTTGCTTCAATGTGAGAATCCCCAGCGATGCTTCGTGAGCTTGTTGAACATTTCACTGTGTCAGCATCCTATCTCCACATTTTGGGGCCTGCTGCTGGGATTTCTACCCGGAGAAGCAGTGAAGTATCGGCGGTTGCCACACGTGAACATGATCCCGAGGCCATGGCGACGAAAGCTACACCTGAAAGGCACTAAACCCAGGTTCCCGGCGAACCACCAGATCTGATCAGATTGCGGCGCTTCGGATGTTAGCTACATGCTTCGAAATCTCTCTCTATCTCTCTCTCTCTCTCTCTCTCTCTCTCTCTCTCTATATATATATATATGTATGTAACAAGTAGGTATGTTTGTGTTTATGTGTGCATGTGCGTTAGTCGGGGAAATCTTTAATTCATATCGTGGGAAATGTCCTGCGCCGAGAACCAGGATAGCTAGAATGATAAGGAGCCAGTGACGGCAGTTCACATGCACTCGCAGGGAAAACCGCTCCACGACTATGATACCCGAGGCTGGAGATAGTCAAACATAAACCACAATACGCTAAGCCAATATTCTGCCGCAAACTCTTTTCGATTTGGAAGGTCGAGCTTCTGCGGATTCGGCAGTGCCGTCTCCCAAGCAGCCTAGCTCTGCACCCCTTACTGCAAGGATTTTGGCTTTTGACCATGGCCTTGACGTTGGGATATGACGACAGTGACGTACAGTCAATTGCTTAAAGCGTAAGTTAGGCTCTGTTAACGGGAATATACAAGGCGTTCACCATATTACCGGCGCCAAAGCTGTTGGCATAGTGGAACGTCTAGCCAACACCTCCAAATGCTCTAGCCACCTGCCATTTACTGGGCCTGAATGGACGACCCGGTGCCCTGATCAGTAAAGCCTGCGTACCAGTAACTTGCAAGGCCGTCGTGCCACACAGCAAGCCGCATGACCCCCCTTCCACGCCTTCGGTGCACAGGACGCCTGCATCTGTGAAGCAACACGCAGAATTCATCCAGGAACGACTATTTAGTATGTCTTCGCTTCATATTTAGGAAACGTCTCCTGTGCGCATGATTGCGCATGCAAGCATGCAGGTCGCTTGAAATCTCCTGTCCAAAACCTGTTCAAGCAAGCATTTACGGTCTAAATGCATCTGGCCAGGTTCCGGCTTCAGCACTATATATCTGAATCAGAAAATTCCGCATCCTGTCAGGGCACTTAGCTGGAAAAAACCATGTTCCCAAAACCCTCTCCCCATAGTGGATGCTTTCAATCAGGGTTGCCGCAAAGTAAAGTGTCTAAGGTAGTGTCTTCTATGGGATGTGGGAACAAAGGCTTGACTCAACCCAGCATCCAAAGCCCGAAACTTCGTGGCCGCACCAGATGCACTGCAAGCAAGTATTACGTCAATTATTACATACACACGGTACCTACATACATAGGTACATACATATATAGAGACATAAATGGCTACATACATACATAGATACATACATAGACGCATACATAGCTGCATATATACATAGATACATACATAGGTACATAGGTACACAGATGCATACATACATACATATATACATACATACACACATAAATACATACATACATGTGCGGCTGCATGACTGCACATACATTTGCGGCCGCATGACTGACGTTGCAACATGCCGGAATTCGCCTCAGGGCCACCTCTTCCTGTTAGCTTTCCCCATGGCGACAAATTTATTTCTGCAACTGCTTGGCCTTGAGATTTCGGGTTGGCTTGCACTTTGAAGTTGTGGCTTTGGCTTACATGCATGCTTGGCGAACTACCAGACCTCTTCCGGCGCATCGCAATGCGGATGCCAATCAAAAAGAGTTGCACTCTGCACTGATTAAACATCGTACGGCGTCGCTGACAAAGTGCTGCGCATCGGCCATACGGCTGCCATCAGTCGAACCCGATATAATGCATTGTTCGCGAAACAGCACAGACGAAACCATGTTAAACCTGCAAGCAATTCGGACACTCAGCGCTAGGGAGATGCGACAACCCTCAACATTTGAGGTCGATCGGGCCCCCGTCATGTTTCTGGAGTGGGTTTGGTCCCCGGACGCCAGCTTGAAACCTGCAGTTCTCTGGTTTTCCAGTCCGGCATCGCTGCGAATCGGTGGATCTGCGCTGCCCTGAGCACAACGAGACCGATCACTTGTGTCACACATAGCATCGATCCTCCCTACCAGTCCCAAGTGTTCCATCGTGCTTTCTAATTGGCTGCTCGTATGAGACAAGGCCCCAGTGTTTCTTAAATCGTTGGACCTGAACTGAAGCAAGAAGCTGAGCCAGTGCCACGGAAGCAGGAGGAGCCAACTGCGTCCTGTCCCGCGAGATGTCCAAGTAGCGAGGGCAGGAGAGGCAGGCTGAGGAAGGCAAAGACAAGGGGTAGAGGGGGAGAGACAGAGACAGCGAGAGAGGCCGTATGGACAGATCGTTGCCGACATAGGACTTCAATGAACAAATAAAGCGACAAGAGCAAGCTTGGGTCATGCAAACTAGAAGACGAATGACGGATGTGGTATCCAGAGAAGGTTCATGCATCCATGGGCTGAATCTGGTGGCTTGGTCGAGGTTTTCGAGTCGGGAGTTGAAGCGGCCTAAGGCCAAGATCATGAAACCTTAAAGCTTAGGTCCACTTGCACCTCCACGAATAAATGCAATAGAGAATAGAGAAGACAACTCCCACGTATCCCGGGGCGACCTCGCTGGTCCTGCATGGAAAAGTCAGGTCCTGAAGTGCTAGGGGAAAGTTCTGTCAGGCTGGGGCATATGACTCGCTGATTGCTCAATCGCACAGAAGATTTTGACATGCTGCGAGTCTTGCTGTTCTCCGAGTGCTGCCTTCTTGTCATATGCCAGCCTTATTAGAAGCTTGAGGATACCGAATCTTGAAATGTCAGTCCGGGTTAAGCGATTTTCTGCAATCTTGGCGACACAAGAGACAAATACAGTTGCCTCATGCGTGACGTATGACAGGGCAGCTAGGTCCAGGTGAATGAAGTCTGAAGAGCACTTCGTGTTGCTGCATATTGGAACGCTCGGAGATGCTCTGAGACTTTTAGTTTCAAAACATGTCGGCACTCAGACGAAACCGGACAGAGAGTGAAGCAGGCACTTCAACCCTTGTTCGCAGCATTCCCGGAATATTTGCAACTTCTCGTTGGTACTGATCGTAGCTTCATAGCAGAGCAAGTCTACAGTGGTGCTTTGTGCCTCTCTGTAGTAGGCCTTCTGATGAGATGCCTCACTCTCATGAACCTTCATGCCAAGAAGTCCATTAAGCCCGGTGCTGCTCATGACTGAGTTGCTCACAGCTTCGCTTTGATGCGCTCGTAAGCGAAGACACAGATCGTAAGCCTCCGACGTCGAACATGAGATTGGCTCTTGGTGAATTCAGGAAGTCTTGTTAACTCCTGTTTGCCATGGACTGACCCTGACTCAGACTCTTCGATCCGATCGCTTAGCTAGCTTCACGTCTGCAATAAGCATTCGCTGGCACTAGATCCAGACAGAAGCCGTGCACTCGACAGAACGAATCTCTCTTTTTTTTATAAGGTGTCCGGCTCAGCTGGCTGGCACTACTGGAACCAGCTGTCACATCTCACGCTGTTAGCCTGATGAAGATTATCGGCTGCAGCTGCAGTGGCAGGAGGCATTGGCAAAAAGACCGGTCGTCAGCTTACTGGTTACCTGCTTCTCACCTGTTTCGCTTAATTACATGGGCGCGCCAGAAATCAAGTTCAGCCTAAGCAAATGGTTTCCAGCTGCTATGTTAGCCTGGCGCCCCTGCCGCAAACCTTGCATCTTCGAGATTCCACCGAACTTAACGACAGTGCTGTTGCAATTGCCACTGTGCTGAAACTCTGAATTCGTGTTCTTGTCCGCACAACTCCCTGCAGGCCGATGCCGCACGGAAGAGTAGGTCATGACCCCGAAAAGCAGTGCGACAGGGCTGGAGGACAAGCAGGTGCGGTATCCTGGATCCTGGCGGCCGATGCAGGCACACCCAACCGTCCCCCTTGCATTGCCTCGGCGTGAGCCAGGACACACGGGCGAACGCCCCATCCATTAAGGCTCCAGCACCTGGGAAGCGCGTGGTCTAGCAGATTCGAGCACTCCACCCTTAACCTAGCTGACCTAGCTCTGACGACATGCAGGTGTACAACACAAAACAACACGAAACCATTGTCAAAACGAAAGGGCCTCTGTCTAGGTCATGGATGTTCAGATTGCTTAGTGCTTCAATGTGGTTTTGGGATGGCACAGTTCGCACGATTCAGGTTTCGGGCTTGGCCGAAACGAAACCTCAAGCACACAAACAGCAACACCATGATATAGCAATATGCCACGACGCACACCTGCATCGAAACTATCGGAACTGAACACCAACTCACTGTACCATACACCACTGTACATGACGTCCTGCTGGCAGCCTTGTGTAAAGCTGCTTGTGGTTTCTGGGGCTGCGGATATAGGACAGTAAGATTAATCATGTGCGGGCGTCTGTATATAAATATGTAGTTGTGTGTGTGCATGTATGTATGTATCATATGTATAGAATCAAATCCCGACCAGTTACATATTCTGACTGGTGAAGGTTTTAGGACGACACCGAGATCAGATGAAAAGCAAACGAGCTAAGGACTTTAAACGGGTCAGGGTGCAGGTACAGCCTCGCATGGGTTGTCGGCGCTTTCATATCTTTGAGATATCGCAGAATGCGGGCCGGACCTCCAGGACCAAACTCGACAGGGCTCTAACAACGCGAGCAGAGGGTCACCGACGAAAACGTGGTTCTGCGCTTTCTGCCGTCCGAGCGGCCCTCGTGCTGCAGCAAATGCTTCGCCGCTCCTCGGCTCGGTGGACAGGATGTCGTGCACGATGGTGGGGGGCTGGTTGCCAGCATGCTGCAAAGCTTTGGGCAGGTTAGGGGTATAAACGGAAGTCTCGAGCAAGTGCATCTGAAATAGCTATGGCCTGGTTAGACCTACCCTGAGATGCTGATCAGCCCACCAAACTAAACCGCTCTAAGATCGCACCACCTGCAAGCTCTTTCCACTGCTTCCCCTCAAAACCTGTGCAGCGCACGAGCAGCCTGGGAGTCAAAGCAAGCGCCTGTTATCCGTGCAGCACAGGTCAGGATCTGGA